GCAAGCAATACAAAATAATTTTGTCCCATCAGCATAAAAATCATCTTTGTAATTTTTTTCTTTGGCTCTTTGGAAAGCGGAAACAACCATTTTTTATTTTTTTTATTTATGTAGTACAATTATGCAAAAATTATGCAAATTATGCAACAAATCGTCAATTATGTGCTGCATAAATTATGCATTAAAAATCAAAATTATGTGAAAATTATGCAAACACTATTATTGAATAGTCAACATCATGTAACCTTTAAAAAATTTATTTAGGATTGAAAAAACTTCTAAGGCAGTCACATCTCGGAAGAGAAGAAAAATCCATGCGGATTACACAAAGCTTGACAATAAGTCTACACAGGTGGATATGATGTTAGAGCTACGTAATTATGGGGTTGAAATAATCTCTGTAGAAGTGGGAAATATGGAAGAATTGAATATAGATGACGTGAAGGTATGTGGGGACCATAAAGTTCTTAAAATAGAGCTTGAAGACATGTTAGACAATTTTCGTGGTAAACTTTACTTTGTAAAAGAGGGTTAGACTGTAAATGGCACATTTTATAGAACAAATGTATTGCCTATTGTATTTTCAAAATATAAAGAATTAAAAAATAGAAAAACAGTAAGAAATGTGATGATGCATCATGACAATGCTGCTCCACACAAATCAAAAATTGTAACAGAGTATTTAGAAGAGGAAAAAATTATTTCACTCCCCCACCCTCCATATAGCCCAGATTTAGCTCCTTGTGACTTTTTTCTATTTCCTAGAATTAAAAAAGAGCTAAAAAATCAGCATTTTGATCATATTGAAAATCTTGCACATGTAATTCAGGCAATCACAGATGGCATCACAAAAGAGGACTATCAGAAATTATTTGAAAATTGGAAAAATAAGCTACAAAAATGCATAGATAACGATGGGAACTATTTTGAAGGAATGCATTAATTTATTTTAGCTTTTCTCAACCTTTTAGATAACCAATGTACAAGGCTTGTTTTTTGTTGATAATTTTTAAAATTCAATATCTCAATAACTAACTGGTAAAAGAAAGTAACCTTTTTTTATTTGAAAGATGAGAAAAATGTTACTTAAATAAAAGAATTTCAAATTTATTACACTTAAAATCATCAAGTTATGTACCTTATGACAAAAAATTTCCAGTTGTTTTTGTTGTTAATCTTTAAAATTTAATATCTCAATAATTAGCAACCAAAAAAATATTTGCCTTTTTTATTTGAAAGATGGGAACTCTGTCTTTTATTTAAAATAATTTCCAAATCAATTGCCTTTAAATTTATAAAGTTACATGCATTTTCTCAAAACTTTTTGTACAACCCACATATATTCTAATCTCATATTAAATTACTTACTTTTCTGAACAATGAAAGTTTGAAACTTCTCCTTAGTCTTTTCTTTTATTCTGCTTACTAATTTTTTGAACTTGTGTAATCTGTTTTCTTCTTGTTGTTTTGGCAAAGCTGGTAACTTGTTAGTTTCTAAGTAGTCTCTTCTGTTTATTTCCTGATTTTTAGCTGCCAATTTATTTTCCAATCAGTCTATTCAGCCTAAAAGTTTGCCCATTGCAACATCATGCTTCAATACAGTTTCAAATATTCGTCATTTTCTCCACTTCATTGCTTTTACATCAGGAATTTTTTTCTGACACAGATTTATGTAATTATTACACTATTTACATGAGTTTATGGCATGCCCCATAATATTATGCAAATATTACAATTTTACATATTAAATTTTTGGATGTAATATTACAGTGGGAAAATTTCCTGATGTATCTAGTGCTTTCTTAGCCTCTTCTTGCTCTATTTCCACATCAATTTCTTCTGTTTTTCTGTTCTTCTACTATTGCTTCCAGTTCTCTAATTTGTTCAATCTTACTTTCGATGATATCCTTAATAATGAAATCCTTGGCTGGTTTATCTTCAAAGTTTTCTCAGCTTCTTATTCAACCAATAATAGCATTCTTTTTAGTTTGATGCTCTCAGTGATTTTTATTTTTAGATTCATAGTAATTATTAACAATTTCTTCAATAACTTTCTTTTGGTCTTTGTTATGTTCTTGAATATATTTCATATACAAATTATCTCAAAACAAAATTTCAAATTTATCTAGTTCACCAATTTTTTACAGCACTTGGATTTTCATTTTTATTTAATTATTTTATTTTATTTTAAAGTATTTTTTAGCATAATTTTTATAGTCAAGCATAATAAAACTTTTTAGTAATCAAAAATCAAGAAAATTGTCACCTAAGTGTTCTGTGTTGCAATCCAAAAAAGGAAACAAAATGGTTGTAAAGGTGGTTGCAACCAGCAGTTGCAATCATTTTTATATGACACAAAAATGGTAGCAACCATCATCAAAAGTTACAGCCAGTATCCTTATTGTCACCTAATTTTAAAACATAGTCCTCATACCAATTTTCAGTGGATATTTATTTGATAATTATGGAGGAGAGAGAGTTTGAATTCTGTCAATTTTTTATTAGAATCTGCATAAATTTTCAAAATTTAGCCAATAAAATTTGAGAAAATTGTTGTGACGAAAAAATATACATATTGATTTTATATGAGACAGTGCAAAGCACTTAGTCCCCACAACTTTTATTGGTCAAAGACCTTTCTCTACAAAGTTGCATCTTCATTTTGTTGATATGTCATGTTGTTGTGGAGGAATTAAGCCTCAAAGTTGTGCAAGTTTAACAAATTTACTATGTTAACCTCCCAAAGTGATATGTTATACATATTAAAAAATGAACAAATTGGAGATTGAAATTTGTATGGTTGATCTTTTATTGTATGAAAAAAACTGAGAACACAACATGGTAAGTGGCATTTATTTTTTTTACATATTACACAATCAATGCATATGAACAAATTGTTGATTATAATTGGTATATTATTGCATCTTTGATTGTAAATTTTTCTCAAAAATTGATGCTGTAGTGCAGAAAGTTGTAAGGACTAAGTATCTTTCATTATATTCTATATGATATATTTTTGCTAAATAAGGTGAAGCACTGATCATGCTACATAATAAGAAATAATTCATGTATTGTGACAGGAACCCGCAAACTATATAGATAGGTTACTACCACAGCTGGGTCAAGTCTTATAGTAAAAGACCTAATAATTTTACTATTAGAAAATGCAATGTTGGTGAAAATTACCAAATTTGGAAAGATTGTCGCCAATCACAGTGTGGGTATCAAAACCGTGATTTTGTACATATGTTTGCGGGACCAGTGTTGGAAATTCAGGATGCGCATGATGCGGTATTAACCAATTATGGAAACCGTTTGCATAGTATTTCTATATTTGGTTGGTACGAACAATCACTGATTGTGACACGCCAAATTTTCGTTAGTTAATATTAATTCAAAAAAAAAATTGAACAATTTATATTTTCAGATCAATCATAAATATATAAGCTAATAATAATATATAAACGTATAATATAAAAAATATCAATTTTAAAATGTATGCTAAATAATAAATTCAAATGGTAATTTTTATCAGAACGAATCATAAATATAAGTGTAGATTTTTTGTGAAACAAAAAAAAGCATTTTTCCTTTTTTTCCTTTACGAAAAAAAAATTATTTTAACAAAAATTAATTTTTCTCAAAAAGCGATTATATTTGTAAAACTTTTACTTGTATATCTTTTCGTTTAAAATAAGAAAAAATATGACACCAATTGAAAAAACAAGCGGTCCAAAAATATCAGCTGGTAATTTGATTTACTTGTCTATATTATCTTGACAATTTGAAAATTGTTCGTGTTTTGTCCAATTATCACCAATTAATATAGATCATTCATTTCAACATCACTAACTAATACTGCTGCTGCTTTGTTTCTATTGCTAATTTTAAAAAACCTCCTCTAGATGCTACTGCTACTTCCTCATTAAGAGGAAATTCCAATTCACAAGCATCTACAAATGCATCGATTTTCAAATCTGAAAATAAATCAACTCGTTCACCAGGTTTGTCAATAAATTTTTTAAAAATGATTATGGGACCGATAATGAGCTTTTTATAAACCTTGTTGATCAAATTTTATATTTTTAATCAATATTTCAAATCTAGTTCACAGGATTAATCATCAAAACAAGTCAAAAATCACCAAATCGACCAAAGGCCCTATTAGCAGAATAAAAAGAACCTACGAAAAAACAACAGATATATCAAATCAAGCAGAGATATCAATATTATTAGATGATGATAATAACATAATGAATATTGAAACTGCTGATAACACCGTTAATACTACTTTTAATAATAATATAAATGATCTTGATATTAATAATTATGATAAAAATAAGAATATTGTTGAGATTAAAAAAAAACCACCATTCCCAACAAGAAATTTTGTTCAAAATCAACCAAAAGATAATTCAACTGATTTTATTCCTGAACAACCTATTTCAGGAAAAAAACGTGCATTGCCGCCGGAATCATCAAAATTTGGCTTTTTACCTCTAGATACATTCATAAAAGAAGAAAAACCGCGAAAACCACGAACAAAAAAAACCAAATCCTTGAAATCTGAATCATCATTATCATTGTATCCATTTATAACATCTCAGACATCTTCACAACAACATTCAACTTTAATGCCAACTTCTTCCTTACTGCTACAACACAATAAAAAACAATTACAACAAATACCATCTTCATCTCTGTCTCGTTTAACTCTAGAAACCTCACAACTATTATCAGCCTCATATTTACCTTTATCATTGAAACATCAAGAAGGCTTGTTACTTGAAAATTCTCACAGAACTAAACGTGTAAGAAAGCAGTTTCATGTTGAATCAATGTCTGCCGAGCCATCTATCTTGACCGAAGATGGTTTTTGGATTCCAACGGACAAAAAGAAAACTTCTGCAACAGAGTTAAAAGTATATTACGACACTTGTGTAAAAAAACTTCCTGACGCCACTCGATCAGAATTATTGAAGCTTGGCACATTAATTCTCGATAGACTCTTGGCACAAGGGTTTTCTAAACCTTTTGTAAATCCCGAGTCTGAGTCTGCAATAATATACAGAGAGTATATTCATAGACTGATGGATCTAAATACTCTTGAATCTAATTTATGGTCAGGAAAATATCGAAATCCCACAGAAATGTTAAGGGATCTTTTTCAGATAATGTTCAACGCTTTTATATTCCATGAACAAAATGGTGAAATATATAAAGATGCAAATTTGATGAAGGATTTTATCAAGGAAATGTTGGATCCATTCAGGTATTTATTATTCATTTGTCACTTATTATTATAACATAGGTCAATTAATAATCATTTGTATTTGTATGGATGGATGTATGTATGTATAGTAAAGGGGATATCAAATCATGTTTATCAAAATTTGAAATGAAATCACCACATGATGAATTTCAATCGATTCATATCAATGACTTCAATCCTGAAAGGTAAAAATTATTGATACAATATAAAATAAATTTTATTTTTAAAAAAATAAATAATAATAATCACCACACACACGCACACATATATAAATATATAATGATTTTTTTTTAATGTGCACACAAAAAAAAATAGCAAACTATACCTTATGCCTATATTTGAGTTTCGTCACAAAAACAAAAAATACTCATGTATGAAAACCGAAGCAATCGACAGACTAACAACATTTAATAAACCAATTCTTGAACTTTTTGACAATGAAGTTCTTCCTCCAACTCTATTCGATGAAACTGCGGTTACTTGTAACTTTGATCGATTATATATTGCCAACATCCATTCTCAACTATTAAGATCTATTCAAAATGATAATGCCACTCTTCTATTGCTTAAGAATATCAAATGGACTCCAGAAACTAATCATTTCAAATGTCAAATAATCAGAGCAAAGCCATTTGGACGTTTTCACAAATTAGATCAATTGGCCTTTAATGAATTAAGGGATGGTAGATATTGGGTACGTATAGCATATTTAAACAAGGTTGAATTGGAGTTTGTTGCAACGAAAAGGTTCTATGATTTTTGCATAAGATATCCATTTGAAGTCAGAGAGTATAAAAAAGATTGGTTGCCTCTTGATTTTCATAAAAATTTCATACGATTACTTGCTAATTCGTTACAAAATTATAATACTGCCAACACTAGTAATAATAATAAAAATAACATTAACAACAAGAATAATAATAATAGTAGTGATAGCAATAGCGATATCTATTTCCTACTCGATGACATTCAAAATCATGATGATGCAAATACCATTGTCTCAACTGATCTTAGCATTGTTACCACTGCTACAACCAATGCTACAACCGATGAAACCATCAATACCTCCACAATTCTTTTAAATTATCAATCAGGTTTTGTCAACAAGAATAGAATGTTAATTGACCCTCAATTATTAGATATTGATAATGATGCTAATTATATGTTGCCATATCATCAAATTACAAATAATAATAACGAAAATGATGTTGGAATTGAGATGATGACAGATCCTCAATTGCCAACTGAAAATCAAGTCTCAACAGATCCTGAATTAATTATCAATGATCTTGAAATATCAAATAGTAATGATGACGAGGATGATGCCTTTGTTGCACTAATTGACAATTCTCAATATTTGGATATATGGAACAGACTTGTTCAAGGTAAAATTATCAATAAATAAATTATTATTGTAAGTGGAGAAGGTAATTTTTAAATTGAATTAATTTTTTTCTGAAATAAATAAATAGAAGCTGCTGTTCGAAACATTCCAGTGATTGACATTATTAGCCTTGATAAAGAAAAAGTTATGAAGGCAGAAGGGTGTTTTAAGAGTGTTTACCATTTAAAAAACAATCAAAATTCTGTTTTGCAATATTTTAAAAGGATTAACGATGAAACTTTAGAGGCAAGGTTCAAAGAAGTCGCATTCTGTCTGTAAGTGATTATAGTGTATATACGTGTTTATAATATTTATTATTAATGCTTAAATATATTATTTTGGTCATAGTAAAATCATTGGTGCTTCAAATACTGGTCAAATCAAGGCGATTTACAAAAATAAAAATAACCAATTAGTAGGAATTTCGATGGAAAAGTAATTATTTATAATAATAATTTTTATTTGATATTCTCCTTCTAAAGAATAGTACGATAATACTTTTTTTAAAAAAAAAAATAGATATAAATGTACATTGAAGGAACATTTATTTGATTCAAAGAAAAAATTCACTGGTGGACAAAAATTTAAAATTATTCGTGATTTTGTTAACGGAATGAAAGAAATTCATGACGCAGGATTTGCTCATAGAGATTTAAGTGAAGTTAATTTGATGTTGGATGAAAATGATAATCTTGTAGTAATTGATTTTGGCAAAGCAGAATTTATTGGCCGTGAAGACGCACAAAAGTAAGTTTTCTTAAGTAATTTGTTGTTTTATTTATTGGTTATTGATTATAATTGTTTTTAAATATTATTTACAGATGGACAATTAAGACTATACCTGAAGAACGATTAAATATACTTCCTAAAATATTTACAACTCCTGATCATGGCTATAAGCTTTATCGGTAAGTTATCTATCTAAACTACTCTTATATTTTTTTTTTTTAAATATGAAGCTGTTTATTTATTAATTTGACTATATAGTTCTGCCGTGACGCTTCCACATAGGAATAACGATAAGACCGAATTAAGGAATCCAATTGATCCATTGAAAGAGGATATATATTCAGTTGGCGTTTTGATATGGCGGATATTTTCTGGTCAAGCTCCATGGGGTGGCATTCTTGATACCGACTTGAAGGAATTAAGGAAAATAGTTGGTGATGAAAAGTTAATAAGATTCTATATTGAACGACAAGTAATGGGCCAAAAGTCAAAAGATCTCTTATACATGGCCATAAGATCTTCTCCTAAGGACCGCCATAATATCAATGAACTGTTGACTTTTTTGGATCGTAATAAAGATAAATTGATTCAAGAGTGGGATGGAACTTCCAGACGTATCAAAAGATCAAAGTGGTATGATGATTAAAAATAGTCTATATATATGGTTTAAAAGTTATAAAAAGTTTTGAAAAAATTATATATTAAATAAAGTTTTTATTCTTATTCTCTGAATTAAAAATTTTAATTTATATATTATGTACATATACAAATAAATAACACATTATTATTCTAATTTATCCAAATGATCTAATCTTGTTAATACAATATTTTTACTTGTTTCCTCAATTTCACCTGTCAAGAAAACTTCGTCAAGAATTGCATAGACCTAGTAATAGAATAATACTTTTAGTAAATTCATTTATTTGCATTTCAAGTAATATTTATTTGTACCTTATAAAAATTAAAAACCAAGTCTAATTCACAAACATTCCCAAAAAAAGTATCTAAAACTTCAACAAAAAAATGAATCGCTTCTAAATATGATAATTCGTTATCATTTGCGTCTACACATACACAAAAAAATAAGCCAGCATATCTGCGATATATAATTTTATAATTTTGAAACTAAAAAATACACACAGACATGTTGTTATTAATATAAAAATATAATTAATTAACATAAAGTGTCATTTCATATAGTGCATGGATCACCTCTACAAAATTTGATTGATGCTTTTGATCTCTAGGCGCTACGAGTCTATGGACTTCGCCTTTTATTTTATTTTTTTCCTCATCTTCGTAAGGAACATACCATTTGGATAATCTAGTTTTACCTTGACGATTTTGTACCAAAATAAATCTAATCTATAAGTGAAATGAGAAAAGTTTTGTGAATTAGAATTTAAATTTAATATTGTAATGTGTATAATGAATAAACAAAAAATATAGTACACACCATGGTATAATAAATTATTAAAAAGAGTGTATTTTTTATAAAATTATGAGAAATATATAGTTTTAACTATATTTAAAAAATTAAAAGTTGGTATTTTACATATTTGTCAACAAAGTTCAAATACTTTAATAGGTTAGCGAATTCCTAAGTCAAACTTGTGAATGACTATTTTAAACCACATAACTTCCATAAACGCACAGTGCTAAATACAATAATTTTAACTTACTTGGTCACAAATGCCTAATGTTAAATTAATATCTATACTAATACTAATACACTAAAGTTGTTAGCCGTAATCACTCTTCGATTTCCGAAATATTTCGATTTGTAGTTGTATTCCGAGCTGTTTCCGAAATGATTAAATGGGCAACATAGACCTCAAAACTGTATGGTGCACCAACTCTTAACCCGACAATAAAATCACTTGACTTTGAAACCTTTCAACTCAACCTAGAGACATTTTTTTAGAAAATCCACCAGTAATAATGTTCATTGTGATAAGCTCTACAAAGTTACTGGCTGGTTTATCAAAAAAAACTCTCTATGTTGAGTTGAAAGGTTTCAAAGTCGGAGTACTTTTATAAAATTGAAACATATCTCTTGTGGCGATCACTCCAAATTTAGCATTTAACGTGACTCATGTCACGTGACCAAATTTTAAAAAATTTTTATTCTCATTTTAGTTCAGTTTCAAAAAATTCATTAATATTATCTGGTATCCGATGATGTGATTTATGCTTCTTTACTACCCACTCAGCAATTCTACCTTCTAAGCCTTTCTCATATGCATCCATATTAAGGTTTCTGGCCGAAACTGCTTCTATTAGTAGCCAAAATTGCCCAAATACTTTGGGCAAAATTTATTTTTTTATAAGCCCAAACTACTTTTTGTTATTAGCCGAAATTGGGCGAAATTATTTTAAAGTTGTTTAAGTTAAAACAAATTGATTCATATAGTTTTTTAACGTTCATGCTTATAAAAAATGTTGAGAAGCCCAAATTGCCCTAACTAGTTTGGGCTTTGAAAAAACAATTTGGACCAGAAACCTTAATCCATATATCTCCATGACTTTCTTGCAAACTTTCAAATTGTTGTAACAGGAACACTATCAAGTACCTCAGGAATTGCTCTCAACAAATCATCATATTTATAAGTGCACCTTTCTTGTTTCTCATTTTGCATATCCCCAGTATCTTTCAATAAAATTGCATTCACAATGGAACTTTGGATATTTCTCGAATATATGTTTAGCTGCAATTATTAACTCCTCCAGTGCTGATTTCTGCTCTAAAAAATCAGGTTGACATGACAAAATTTGTCTTGCACAGCAGTTTTGCCTATTTGGATCCTTTTCCATTTTACCAAAACACTGATCACAGACAAGTCTAATTTTCTCTGCTGGCCATAATCCACTTCAGTCAATACCAACTGGATCCCTTTTGGTTCACCTCTTAACTCAATATCAGCCTCATCACCAAAAACCATCTTTTGAATACATTTCTCTCCTTCCTTGTTAATGTACCAACCATCATGCAACTTTGCTTGCTTTTTTGCTGGACCCAAATTCATTCTTGTGACAATAAGTGCATCTTCTGCCATTGCATTGTGGTTAGTTGACTGGTCAAAGCAAAAAATTCCAACACATCCAGGGTGCAGCACTTCAAAGTTTGGAATTGTTCTATTTACCAGCTTTAAAATTGAGAAGAAAAGAAAATTATTAGCTGCAGTGAATTGCAATCACTATCATTACTTACCTGCTCAATCATATGTTCTGATTTCTAATAACCATCTGCTTGAATTGAACACAATACACATGCTTTTCTGAACTTAATGTTTGGATTAGATTTCAATTGTTCATCAGTCAATTGCAGAGAGCCATGACAAGCACAAATAAAGTCAGACACCATTATAGAGTGACCCTGATACTTTTATCTCAAGATATCCTCTTCATCTTGCACCCATATCTTCTTTTGTCCTTCATTGGCATAAAAATGGCATTCATCATGTGTGACCAAGACATGTTCTTTTTCACCAGGCTGAAGTTGTGGTTCAATAATTTCATTCAGTTCATCTCCATTATAATCCTTCATAAGGCATTTATAATTAAACATTCTCTTTAACCACTTCTTCCTGTATTGAACAACATCTGGGCATTCATGTCCATCATAAAATACTCCCTTTCTTTTTTCATCATACTTATACCCCCATATATGCATATATTTTCTGCAAGTCTCCTCTGAAATTTTATCCTTTTTTATGTGCCTAGTAATCTTTGGAAATACTGTTTCTTCAATATGATTCTTTAATTCTTTGGGAAGGCAACCTTTTGGTTTTTGCTGTTGTAACCATTTTTGACATTCATCAACAAAATCCTCACTATCAAGCAAGCATTCAATTTTTGTATGCTTTCCCTGTTGATGGATGGGAAGCTTACCATTATGTAAAAAATAATTTCCCCAAGTTCTAATACAACATGACATATAGTCATGTTTTCTCCAAAAACTGATTGCAACCTGCAAACTTGCATCCATTTTTCCCATTCCATCTAAACACAATTGATAATGATGATTTAAACTCAAAAGCTGTATATATTCATAATTATTATAAGAATCATCTGATTTAGAGATTTTACAACAGTTATTCAGATCTTCCAAACATGTTTGCAAGTCAGAGAAGAAAAATGAAGATGAAGATATTAATGATGAAGATGTAGATGAAGATATGGGTGTAGGTGTGGGTCTGGGTCTGGGTCTGGGTGTAGGTGTAGATGTAGGTGTAGATGTTTGAAAAAAGGTATCAATTTTTGCAATTGATTTTGCATGTTCTTTTAATTTTTCTGCTGCTTTTCTCTTACGCCATTGAGTGGTTCTTGATGTAGAATTATAGTAAACTTGTTTATTTTTTAATGCATCTTCTTTCCAGACTAATTCAAGTCTCTTTTCAACGTTTTGGAATTATTGCAAGTCCCCTGTTGACCATTCTTTATCTTCCTCTAAAGCTTCTTGCATTTGGCCATCATTCTCTATCAACTCTTGTTGTTGCTCTTGAAATCCAGAAAAATGTCCATTTTTACTTTGTTGCCTTGCTGACACTTGTTGTTTACAATTACTGGGATGAGGCACTTTATATAAAAAAATAAAGGTTAGTTGGTATAACAACTATACACGATATGGTAATTAGCTAATTACCGTAAATATGTAATTTGTAATTAACATAATTAATTACCACTTTCACTCTTTAAAAATGTAATTACAGTCAACCCCCTCTAAGTGCGCCCCCCTTGGGAATGAGTGATAGCGTGCACTTAGAGGGGGTGTGCACTTAGAGAAACAAAGCATTTCATTGGTTGCA